ATGTTCAACACCGTAGCCTTATGTTTTTGATCCCAATCCAGAAAACAAGGGAACTCCTGAATGAAGTATTTGGAGAAATTTTGCCTTCATTTGACACCTCAAAATTGGAAATTTTGCTTTCATTGGACACCTCAAAATTGGAAAGTTGCCTTCATTGAACTTCATTAGTTCATCTCATTGGAAAGCGACCGCTCTATCCCCTATGCCATCACGATTCAAAAAATTTACTTATTTGAAATTAATAATTTACTATGCTGTCCATATAACATTTCTGAAAATAAAAACAAGTCTTGATTACTAGAAAATCACTGAGATGTTCTCCCGCCCTACTCATACTTCTGTTCTATATAAAAATAATGAGTTATAAGTATTCATCTAAGGCAAATGATGCGTTTATTTTGTAAATTTATATTATTTTACAAACTTTTAGTTTTTGATATGAAACTCTACAACATGCTATTTTGAGCCTAAAAATGAGAACTGAATTTCAAAATGCGAGTGAACAGTTATTTATTCTCGTTACTATCCAGAAATTATTAATTGAAAGTGATTATTTTCTTTGCTCGCATCCAATCCCAGCTACTTGCATCCCAAAGAATCAATCTTTTTAGCTCACATTTTTCTTCATAACTTTCAGGGCGACTTTCTTTTAATTCATCCTATAAGGAGAGAAAATTCCTTTTATTGCTTACAATTTGCAAACTCTCAGATTTCTTATTACTTTTAGCATTTTATAAAAGCAGTCATTTAAATGGAAGGATTTAATAAAATTTTTTAATTATCTTGAGTTAATCGAAATGTATAATAAAACTAAAAATGAATCCAAATTGATAACTGAAAATAAATAAATAAATAAAACTGAAAAAATGAAGTATGGTAATACCTTAACAAAAATACTTTTGACACACATTCTTAATAAACAGAGACTTTGATGCCAAACTAAAATATTGCTTATTAAATTTTTATTAATTTAGTATTATCCAAGGAATTAATAAGCAAACTTTCAAAATGAATTATTTCTTGAAGTAAAATTTAATTTAATTTAGTATTCTTCGTGCGACTCAAATAAATTCAAAAACAAATAAAAAAAATTCTGAAATATTGTTTCCTTTACGAAAGACTTTTTAATATATTAGTTCGAAGAAAATGATATTCAAGAAAAATATTAATTATAAAGCAGAGTCAAACTCGTGTATGCAAAAGAAAAATGATCGAAACGACAGCTTTTTAATTTCATTTATACTTATGGTCTTTATAAATTACGTACATAAAAGTAAACACAATAAAGCTCAAAAAGATATATTTTCGCTTAATTGGTAGAACTAATATTAACTTGATTTGAAATAAGTATTTTTGAGAAGTGTTTTTAAAGTATCTAATGAAATTGTTTATTTATACTTATATTTATTTTTTTCTCTTAATTAAAAATGAAAATACTGAGATAATTAATCAAGGGGAAAGGGATATTTTTCATTCTCAGATCTTTAAAGACAGAGTTTTTGCCTGCCGTAATTAGAGATCTTACAAATATAAAATGAAAGTAGTTTTTTTTAAATATTTATTTCATTATAAAATTAGATATATAAGAAAACATTTTATATATATAATCTGCTGAACATGGAAAGTACCCAAACGTTACATAAGGTATTCGATTAGTTTTGACAACTTTTTTTAAATATCAATATAAAATTTTAAGAAATTTGTTTATTTATTTTATTACGTGCAAAAATTTATAAGGCCAGCAAAAAAAATTTCTATTATTATTTTTAATGGCCATTTTTATGCATATATGGTAAACACCGTAAAAAAATTCTATCGCTTAAAACAAAAAATCCTTTGAGGTTTTAATTTAGAAGGCTATCAACTATGTTTCGAACTATTATCTTAAAATCAAGTGCATATAACACTGAGTTAAAGATCAAAGTAGTAAAAAAAGGCAAATTTTTAAAAATATTATCACGTGTCCCTGCAAAAAAACATGCATAAAGAAATGAAATTCTATTTTTTCTCTTAGTCTGTAGTTCAAAACATGTGTACTATAATCATAAACACCCATGAAAAATTGTAAAGAATTATTTTAAAAACAATATGAGGTATCGTGTTTAAAGTGGTGTAAAATGTGAAAAAATCTGATTTTGAGACACATACGCATTTGAGTCTTAAAATCATTAATATATCCGCTGTTATTACCTTGGACAAAAACTGCTTAGCTTTGTAAAGAGTTAGGGTACAAGCAAAAGTCATTTTTAGAAAGCTTAGAGTACAAGGATTCTATATTTGTAATAAACACAGTTTCAAAAATTTTACCAAAAATCATGTTTTTGCTTTAACAATAACTTTTATTTGTAAATTGACTAAATTAAGATGAGAAATACATTTTTGTCTATTTTTTTTGGTTATTGAACTACGCATAATTTTTTTTTGAATTTTGATTTTAAAGAATTAATATAATCATAAAATGTTTGCCAAACATGCATTAAAAATACATTATATAAATTGAATTTTCAGAATAACCCATCTGAGTTAATTAAGTATTTTTAAATTTTCTGTTTCGACTGAATGATCAAGTTATAAATTTAAAAATAAATTTGTTACGTATATTAGACATTAAACACTATAAATACACAAAGAAAAAAATTCTAGTAAAATAACCGTACAGTATGGTAATGACATTCCTGGTAAAAAAAAAATCCATAATTCTGGTTAATAAAGCTAAAATCTACGGTATTTGAACCATTCATTTGGTAATTTTTCCGTTCATATGGTTATGGCTTACCGGAAATTCTAAGTTTTAAAATTTTAGTTTTTATTATCACACATTAAGTAAAAAATACAAATCTGAAAAGTAATTTTAGCCGAATAAATAGTTTTTATGTCGCGCACTATCGGGATAAAATCACCAACTTTTATTACATATTGTATCACAAATTTTATCACACATATATTTTATAGCTAACTTTACCATAATCTTTTCCAAAGCTCTTCGGTAATAACTCCCGAGCTTTTTGGTGTTCATATAGAGCTAGAAACACTGTAAATGATATCATATTTTGGTAGTTTTGACCATATTTGTTTTCTCAGTGTACAAAAGTTCTTATATTTTTTGTTTCAAAGTCAAAAAATTCTTTTGAATCTTCAGTTGACATGCGTATATTTGAAATACACTATTGATGGATTTCTTTTTGTATTTTTGTCCTTATGGTACTATTTCTCGACCTTTCTTTTATCTGTTTTAATAGTTAATCGAAGTTTTTGAGTTATGTTCAAAATTATGTTTAGAAAACTCTAAGCACATTTTCTTTGAATGCAACAGTACAAGGAAAATAATTTGCTTTTTAAAAAGCAGCATTCTAATATAAGCAACGATATTTTTAATTATTCATGTATTATGCTACTCTGCAATTCAGAAAGAATTTAAATGCTTAAACGAATTCTGAGAAAAAATACTTAACAGCTTTTTCTTCTCCCTTGCTAATACTGTCAGCGCTAAAATAAAAAAGTTTAAAACTGATAAAAAATTTGATTTTTTTTTCGGTATGTAGCTCTTATCATGCAAAAATGCCAAATGTATAAAAATCTCAATCTTCAATTTTTGTCGCTTACGTTGATTTTTGTGTTACAAAGTAGTGTAAGGGATATGAATTTCGTGTTTTTCCAAAACGATTTCTGAGAATTAAATAATTTTTTAATTGACTTGTACCTTTTCAGAAAAAAAATAGTGCTCCGAAAATTAAAAATTTAGTGACTAAAGAGTCAAAGTAATCTTTTACAGCCAGCATTTCTTTTCACTCTGCCTGCAAGTAAGTATCGGTGTCGCATTGGCCAGAAATTGCTTATTAAAATAAGCTATACAGATTAGTAACAATTTCGAACTTTCTTATTTCTTAACTACTCTCCCTGTTTATAATGTTAATTTCAATATTATAGTTTATCTACGTACTAGGCTCTATTTAATTAAAATTGAATTAAATATTTGAAATTTATAGACAATGCAGCTATTTTATTTTAAAACCGTCATTGAACAGCCGGCCCAATTACTTGGTTTAAGACTACTAATGTTTAACATGAAAATGCGTTGAGCAATAAATTAAAATTTTTTATTCTTTGTGTTTGTAATAGATAAAAATTTACGATATAGAATTTTATTTAATTATACTAAAGTTTTCTTTAGTTTATTTCCTTTCTAGCATTCCTATTTCATACATTCAATCAAAAAACATTGAGTCCGATCATTTGACCGGCTATGAAAATATCTTAGATTTAAAATATCCTCAAACAAATTTATGTTTACTCTAAAAATGTTTTTCGGGTAACAAGCAAAAACAGGCAAGGCGTGATTTGAAAATTCCTGTTATAATAGGAGCTTTACTATAATTCATTTATCGAAATTCTTGTGGAAATTTATAGTAATTCGGATTCAAGTCTAGCAGGTTTGCTCAATAATTTTTCTATAATTCCCATTATGATCTGAAGAAAAGCAGTTCACAGAAGAAATCCAATATCTAACCCACAACTTTATTTGTGTGAAAGGCATATAAAAACATTATTAAATGTAGTATAGAAATATTATAAATGCCTTAAATATCAGTATATGAGCTACTTGAGGAAAATATCTCTTCAAAAAACTGTTTTAATGATTTGTAGGAGAAAAATCACTTGCATTGCTGAAAATTAATTGCTTCAATTTCATGGATGTCTTTGATTTTTTAAGTTAATTTTTTCATCATTAAGTTCACAAAAAACTAGGTCTCTATTATACCTATCTCCATTATTTTCTTGCTCAACATTAATGAAGAAAGATAAAATTCTCGGAAATCAAACAGTTTTTTTTTATTGAAAAACCAGAAAATTTTCGTTACATTTTTATTTAGTAGTTGTTGTTCGGCTCAATCTGTGTCAGAAATTCGAAAAAAAAACAATCTACATACTTGTTTTTAATATTGTTCTTGCTTGAATTTTATCAATGTTTTTATTAATAAATATATTAATAAGAGCACAAATTTTAAAAAAACACATTTTATTGTTCACAATTAGAATATTACACTTACGGAGTCCAGTTTAGACCAAGTAGAAAACACTTTATTAGCAATTAAGAATTCATCAACATTTAAATATCACACAGAGAAAAAAATATGGTCAAAACCACCAGAATATGGTAACATTTACTGTGTTTCTGGCTCTATGAGAACATTAAAAAACTGAGTGATTTTTACCGAAATGCTTTGATAGAAATTTTGGCAAAAATAACATTAAAATATGTCATTATAATATGTCATAAAGTTTAGGTAAATGTGGTAAAATTTGAAAATTTTATTGTGATATCCTATAGTGTGCCATGAAAAACAATTTATCTTGGTTAAACCAGAATTTTGTTTTATTTTACCAGAAATGTCATATGGTGCGGATAGCAATTTTACCAGAATTTTTTTTCTCTGTGCTGTGTTAAAACCTTCAAATTTGGAGATTCTTAGTAAATGTAAAATATTTTTACATCGGATCAAAATATACTTACATCAAGCATTAGTTAATTCAATAAAAAAATCTAAAGTTCCAAGAAATGTTTAATGAAACATTGCAACGCAAAGTGAATCTTTCTTACTTATATTTTCTTTTGCTTGACATTTATTTATTTTGACAAGCAAACAATAAAAAGTACTTTTTACGCCAAGTAGTTTCAATTTCAGTAATTTCAACAACAACAAAAAATATGTTTGTTTTTTTAAGCTACATCTACCAACTGACAAACAAATATATTTCAAATACATCACATACATTTACGAACTCGAACTGAATTTTTGGATTCAGTTCGAGTTATGGATATTATCAGTTACAACAAACAAACAGTTATTCAGTTATGGACATTAATAGGTCATAAAAGACAATTTATTTTGGTTAAACCAGAATTTTGTTTTTATTTTACCAGAAATGTCATATGGAGCGGATGGTAATTTTACCAGATTTTTTTCCTCTGAGCTGTGATAAAACCATCAAATTTGGAGATTCTTAGTGAATGTAAAATATATTTACCTCGGATCAAAATATACTTACATCAAACATTGGTTAATTCAATAAAAAAAATCTAAAGTTCCAAGAAATGTTTAATGAAACATTGCAACGCAAAGTGAGTCTTTCTTATTTACATTTTCTTTACTTGACATTTATTTATTTTGACAAGCAAACAATAAAAAATACTTTTTACGCCAAGTAGTTTCAATTTTAGGAATTTCAACAACGAAAAAAATAAGTTTTTTGCTTAAGCTACATCTGCCAACTGAGAAACAAATATATTTCAAATACATCTACAAACTCGAACTGAATTTATGGAGTTGACAAAGCATAATCCAAAGGGAACGTGAAACGTAGCAGGGCAAAGAAATTTCGCATATAGCTTTTGATATCTCCAGGGAATGTAGAAAAACTTAAGATGTTCTTTCTGCATTCATGAAATGTCACTTCATCTTCGTTTCTTACATCCGCAGGGAAAGAGGTTGAAGAAACTTTCTCGAAATCTACTATTCATGAAACAATAAGTAACTGGATTGCAGCAGGAAGATGTATAGGCCAGTAACTGGAAAAATGAAATACCACTATATCCAATTTGCGTGTACACTATTGTCGGATCGAAGAGGGAGATAGTATTAATAGCATAGAGAGGACTCCAACAAATAAAAAATTCTAAGACAACGACAAAGAGCATCTGTATAATTCGTTTCTTCTGAATAATTCCACGTTCACTGTTGTTTTTTCGTATAGCAGGTGTTCCTGACGCATTATGCGAGGTGGCAGATGTTATGGTAGATGTAAACGTAGAGGCTGTTGAAGAAGCGGTGTTTCGGTTTATATTTGGAGATGTATTCCAACAATAGCGAATTTTGTGACCTGAAAATCATGAATAAAATAAAAAATTACTTGAAACAATGATCAAATCTGTATGTACAAAGTAATAGTTAAAAAGGCACATCAAACATACTCCTAAAAGGTAAACTGCTTTTTTTCAGGTTTTTACACTATATGCATACAGTCACTGGCCAAATTATTCGACGCTCTGTAAGATTCTATGTAAATTCTTAATTATCAGGTGTACTGTACAGCTTTATTGTTTTTACCCGACTAAAACCGGTTTGCACTTGTTGAAGTTCGTGCATCAATTGGTTAAATTAGACGATATAGAATGCAAATTTAACGATTGGATACATTCGACGATATATTATATAAATATAGAATATTTATTATATCAGGTATTATAAATAGTATATTATAATAATTAGACCAAATTATAAGACCCACTGTAATGTTCTAATAATTGCATGTCTTACAAGAGTTTATATGCAATACTTTTACATTTAAGAGTACGTGTAATGAGTTTTTATTCAGCAGATTTTTTATACCATTCCCATTTGTATTTATTTTTAGCATGTTGTATTACAATGTTAACCAATTGATACACAAATATAAACAAGTGTAAACCAGTTTCAGCCGCGTAAAAACAATAACGCTGTATGCTATCACCTGATATTTAAGATTTTGCATAGAACCTTACAGTGCGCCTAATAATTTGGCCAGGGACTCTATATTGGAAAAAATGCTTAAACTAATTTCTAACTAAATCTTAACTAAGTTATTAATAAGTTTGGTATGGCAAAGCGCCATATCAAATCTCAAATTAATAGATCATTGCCAAATAAAAGTATTGAAGGTTGAGGAGCGAGTATTATTTCAAAAAGGGATAAAGTAATGGTAATAAGTGACATTACTGAATAGGACATTCATAGATAATATAACTATTAGGAGAAGACACCTAATTCTATTTTGTTGTGAAAAAGCGGGAGACGTAAATGAAAAGACAGAACTCTTTTATTCCCAATGTTCCATCCTTATTGCAGAAAATCCCTTCCTTCATTGAAGAAAACATAGCAAGACAGGATTTCGTAATAGATTATTTTCTTTCATGTTTTCCAAAAAATGCCTCATTGAGAGCCCCCAAATATCCATTAAGAAGTTTTTTAGTACTTCCACGTTTTCCCTCGAGAAAAATAAACAAAAAAATAACTTACGGAAACATTTCCTTAATGTTTATATGGTGTTTTCGCAGATACCATGTCATTTTTCCAGTAAGTCCAGGAAAACTAAGATTGAGAGGGTATTTCATTGCGCGTAAGAACTTCGACGGCACTCAAATTATTTCAAAATAGAAAAAACGAACTTTTGAATTTGCATGTATACTGTGAAGCAAAATCAAATTATGCAGATAAATAAATGAAGAGAAAAATATTTCATTAAAAATAAACGAATGAAGCAAAAAATGTTTAAAACTAATGTCTAAAACTAAAGAAAGGCATTACCGCAACAGCCTGTTTATGAACCATGTTATGGCCAGTTGTGGCTAAAACTCCACAATTTCACGGTCTATGACATTATTGTGGCACTAAGCTTAGCAATGCGTCCCGACCACCTTAACTTCCCAGACAAGCAGGTACGCATGTAGCTGTAGCTCATTTACGTCGACTAGAGCTGCACAATGGGCTGTTGGCGACGGTCTGGGAAACATCCCTGAGGATGATCCGAAGACATGAAATCATAATTTTGATCCTCTGCAGAGGAGATGGCACCCCCACTTTGGAAATCCAGCGACCTGCACGCAAAGTTGAGCACTTTACGGTAGAGCAGTTTAACGAGGACCAATACTGCACACCCTCGGTCCCTACGCTGAATGATTCAAGTGTTCACCCACTAGCACACTGACCGCAGCCAGTGATGCTTGACTTCGGTGATCTGCTGGGAGCCGTGTCTTAACAATTCGTCCACTGCGGGACAGCTGGTACGCATACATCTGAAGCTGGATAGCTTCAAGTCGTCACTGGATATTGAACCCCACTCCTTCACAATGGCAGCTTAATACCTTAACCACGGTGCAATCGCTGTTCAATGCTTAGGTCTGAGTGATCATTATTTACCTTAAAAGCAATAAATTCGCTTAATCCAGATTATCTGAAATAAAAATTTTGTGTCAATTAGTCTTAATTCAAACCAATAATCCCTTTAAAATAATGCAAACATTTTCCTGACTGAAATATTGTAACTCACACAATATAAGTCTCTTAAGTTCCTTTTTTGAATGGTTTTATTTTAAACAAAATAATGAGTAGCATTTAAAATTAAGATTAAATAAGCTCCAAAGTTTCAAATCCTCAAAAATCTCAAAATGAATAAATCTTCATTGCGCTTTAAGATTCAAATGAACTTAGCTTGAATGAAAATTGTTTGGTGATGCTTAATAATGCAATGATTATAGAGATGAATTGTTTCCAATTTTTAATGACTCTACAAAGTTATTTATATTTATTTGAAAGATACATAAAAAATTTAAAATATCTACCATTTTGCATATATATAACACAAGAAGCTTATGGCCGTCAATGAGTAGTTATGAAAATCAAAATAACTTTGATAAAAATCGAATTTAATTTCTTAACTCAGAATGCCTGAAACCATATAAATCTAATCGAACGTAAAAAATTCAGAATAGAGAAATATGTAGTGAATTCTTAAAAAGAAGTCAATAATTTTGAAAGAAATGTTGCAACATCTCAAGAAAATTCAATTTAAGAACTTTTTCAAAAGGAAAAAAAAAAAAATTGCAACTCACAAATAATGAATATTTTACCACGGAAAAAAGTCTTCTTATCAATTTTAAAAATATAAATTTTTTAAATTCCGAGCTATAATCGAATTTGATATTTATTTTGAATAACTTGGATGAGATTATAACTTTACGGAAAGCAAACATTTCCTTGCGCGGTCGCAGATATTCTTGAAAGATTTGACGCATTATATTACCAAAACTAGAATTCCACTTGCCAAAAAAATATTTCACATTTGACAAAAAAATTTCTGATAATTTTACGACTGCCATACTTGATATAACCTATTTTGATGCGTTCATGTTTTTTTACGATTCGTGGGGATAAAAAATAAATTTCCTATCTTTATATTTTGAGAGATATAAATTTTTGATAAAGCATGCTCGCCTATAACTAGTACAGTATGTTTCAAAAATGAAATCTAAAAGTATTTGGTGATCAGCAGAAGACTGCATTCAGTACGAATTGGCAATTCTATATATTTTAAGAATTTATACTTGAAACTTTATTCTCAAGTACGTCCAAGTAAAACAGAATTCCCTTATTGAAAAAAGCGCTTTGGTACTTATATCTAACTATCGCAGAAACTTTATCTTGTTATACCATCTTTATTTTAAAGCATAACCTTTTATTTCAAATTTCTTGCACTGGGTTTGTATAACTATCAATAAGAAAATATAACTAGAATAAGTGCTCTCAAAAATTTATCGACCTGTTAAAGTGTCCGATATTATAAAAAGTATTAAAATTAAACGACTGAACTAATATTGTTAGAATGGATGAAAAAACATAACTTTTTATAAAGCATAACTTTTTATTTAAACTTTTTTGCTCTGTGTCTCATATCAAAATTAAAAAAAGTGTCAAAATTAAACGAGAAGTATCAAAATTAAACAACTGAACTAATATTGTTAGAATGGATGAAAAAACATAACTTTTCATAAAGCATAACTTTTTATTTAAAACTTTTTGCTCTGAGTGAGGTATAACTATCATAATAACTATCAATAAGAAAATATAAGTAGAATAAGTGCTCTCAAAAATTTATCGGCCTGTTAAAAAGTCCGATATTGTCAAAAATATCAAAATTAAACGACTGAACTAATATTGTTAGAAGGGATGAAAAAGCAATCTAGTACAGAAAATGTTTGTGTTTACACTAATCAAAAAACAAAAAAGATGATAGCCTTAACTACGACTGCTCATTTCTGTGGGATCAGGCAACACCTCCTAGAAAGAACAGGCCTCAGCACGGGTTACCATAAATATCCTTTAGTAGTCCAAACGTAATGACATATTTTGTATTTTCAACCACTGCGCAGCTTAGTACTCCTAACGTAATGACATCTTTCTTTTTTTTCGTCTACTGCGCAGTTAACTTCGTCACATCGGACTACTAAATTGATCCGTGCTGAGGCCTTTCTACTTCTAGGAGGTGTTGAATCAGGTTTCAGAGGGATTAAGGTATGATTAGTAGTTCAGGTCAAAAAAAAGGGTTGTTTTGGAGACATTTTCAACAGAAGGCCTTGGTTCACCCTAGAGTGAAGATGAACATAATCAGTGAACAATAAATATTTTTGTCTCTCCATTATTTCCAGTGCTGTTTGCAATTCCAGTGATTATTAGTACATTTTGAATTAAGAAGTAACGACGACATATTAAATTCTGAAAATTTGATAGAAAAAAAAATACTAACTAAGCATTTTCAAACAGGATTTGAACTATAAGAAATTCAAAAAATCACCAAAAAAGGTAATTACCTGCATGCGGTGATTCGTCAGAAGATATAACCATTGCTTGCCAGAGAGTTCGAATTATTAATGAATAAGTCACACTCATTAATACAAGGGGTAAAATAAGAAGAATGATATCAAGAAAAATTGTGAATGTTTTTTCCGCATTCAAAGACGGCCAGTTCTCCCGACATTTCTGCTTCTCTATAAAATAAAAGGAAACACATTTTTCATTCAAGTGAGCAAACAATACAAAATCACACAAGGACTTATAAAATTGCATTATTTCAAAAATATCCCAATTTTTTAGCGTTTGTACACGGAGAAAAGAATTCTGGTAAAATTACCAGACTGCATGGTAATAACATTTCTTTATAGGTAGGTAGATATTTTATTTATGTCGCACTAGAGGTGCACAATTGGCTATTGGCGACGGTCTGGGAAACATCCCTGAGGATGATCCGAAGATATGGCATCGCAATTTTGATCCTCTGCAGAGGAGATGACTCCCCTACTTTGGTAGCTGAAAGACCTGCGCGCGAAGTCGAGCACTTTACGGTAGAACAGCTTAACGAGGACCGGTACCGCAAATCTTCGGTCCATACGCAGGCTGATCAAAGTGGTCACCCACCCGATTACTGACCGCTTCGGTGTTCTACAAGGAACCGTGTCTTTGCGATCAGTCCACTGCGGGACAACATTTCTTTACATAAGTACTAAAACGCCTTTTTCAACAAATAGAACTCTGCTTAAAAAAAAAGCATAATTTTGGTTAATAAAACTAGAAATTACGAGATTAAAACCACACATTTGGTATTTTTTCCATTCATGTGCTAACAGTTGAATGGAAATTCTGGTTTTCAAAATTATATTTCTCATTACCAACATATTTCATAAAAAACACAAAACTGAAAAATAAATTAAACCGAAAAAATTACTTGTATGCCATGCTCAATGGTATCACGATAAAAACACCAAATTTTACCAGTTTTGTCAAATTTTATCACATATTATAAAATCATATTATTTTGTTAATTATACCAAAATCTTTTCCAAAGTGCTGCGGTAAAAATTACTGAACTTTTTAGTGTTCCCATTTAGCCAGAAACACGGTACATTTTACCACATTTTGGTACTGTGTAACCTTTTTTGTGTGTGTAAATGTTTCTATAAAAGTAGAAGATGCTTATTTTTGAGGAATCTAGATATTAAAGTATAACGATTTTTATTTGCAAGCTGCTAATCAAACCTTGGATTTGGAACCTTGAATTTTCTAGATGAATACGTAAGGTTGAGTAAAATGGTTTTTGCATTACTTTCTATAGCTCGCGAGCTGGTTCAAGTAAAACTCTCAAGTATTCAAAATTACGCTCATAGTACAGATAAGCTCTTAGCACATTTCACTTTTTTTCATAAAAATCCAATAAACTATCAAAATTGAATATTTTTTGAAAGTGTTATTGATGTCAATGCATATAAACCCAAGAAGTATTTTTTTTTCTTATTTCAGTTGTGCTGTTTAGTAATTTGAAGGCAATGAAAGGATGTTTTTCTTATTTCAAGGAAGGAATATTTCTGATAGGTTTGATCATACTTTTTTCTCAATGTACAGAAAGTATTTTTATACTGGGAAGATTAGATGTGTGTTGAATTATATCATAAAAAGAACATGGAAACATATACTGTTTCTCATGTTCTCCATTTCCATACAGTGAGACTTTATAATAACATGTTTCAACATTTTTATAAAGAAATGTTTTAAATGCTTCAAGAAATTATTGCTATGTTCCTTTATAACAGTTTCTTTAAATTTTTAAAATAATACGAATAAAACCAATTATTATTATTAACTGTTGTTAGCATTTTTAAATAATTTTTATTATTGAATAGTATAAACCAAATGTCATAAAAAATTTTTATAGGTTTAAAACATAGTTGCGAAAGCAATTAGAGTTGAAACTCCTCATAAATTAAAATAAGCTTATTTATAAAAATTTTAAGAGGAATTTCATACAAATTTTGAATGTCATCTACCTACTCCATCTATACGAAAATCCTGCTTTTTAATAATTTAGTTAAGATAGAACTTAAAATGCAAAACAGAAAAAAAGGTTGTTCATAAACTAATAAAAAAAAAACTAAAATGTTTGCCTATGAACTGAAGAAAAACAGAGTTATAAGTAACTTTAAAAATAAAATCCTAAGAAATATAAAGAGCACGAAAAAGAAAAAAAAAAGTCACATATGATTCGAATTACGTAATTTGAATTTAAGTAGCTCAGTAAAGCATAACCATATTTTGAAATGTTTGAAACTGGAAAATATTGAAGCTGACGTTAGCTATTATGAAGAAAACCTGAAAAGAAAATGTTGTTTTCCCTATAACATTTTATATAACGCGATTTTCGCCAATTGTAACAAGTACTATCTATGCTAAGAAAATTGAGTTGAGAAAGACGGTTTCAATATTTTATGAGTAAAACTGAGATGGTATACTCAATTTTCTCGTTTTTTCCCCCCAACTTTTTTTTAGTTGAAGTGTTTTGCAACAAAAAATGAAATATTTGAGAAATAATCGACGAGCGAAGAAGCATTTTTCTTGATGGTTATATTCGTAAAGAAAAATACTGAAACGACCAACATTATTCATTGGTCTAAAAGCACATAAATCGAGTTTTGTTCTAAAATTTTCTTGAGTTTTCTTGAATTATTTTTTAAGTTGAATTCCAAGTATGATTGAATTCAGTTTTAGTAACTTTAGTATCTAAAATTTGTATCGTGTTAAAACTAATACGATGAAATATTCAATCAGGTTATGTATCAGTTTCAAAATTATCGAATTACAGGGTATTGACAATGGACAGATATTTTGTATTCAATTGTAAATAACTTTGCTTTCAATGTGTAAAAATTATATTGCTATAAAAAATAAAACTGTTCGTGAGGAACTGCTTAAAGTATCAACTTACAAATTAAATACTATTTTATAAAGATTTACTAATTTGTTTAAATGGAAAACATGTTTCTTAATCACCGTCTTTTTCTATGTGTTTTCTGAGAATGAAGGTAAAAATAAAAGTCATATAACTGATATAATGATCATTAAAAATTAATATTTGCGGAGGGATAATTATCGAATTTCGTATCAAAAAAATCTCTGATAACTTTTGATCCACTGGCGACTTCACGGCATTTAAAATTTGACGATTGAATGGTAGGCATTTTAGTTTGTTTTCATTTAATATTTAATTATTTATTGAACATAGAGACTCTTATTGTTGTGGTATTATATTTTTCGGTAAAAATGTTGCATTTTTCAACGAATATTCGATAGCCTAGGCTATCCTATTCTAATTTCGAACTTCTAAACTAATTTTTTGGGAGAAGAAGGGGAATATTCAAGAAAAAGTTTATCTCAAATCCCCCTTCGAACTCTAAATTGTCATTCACACTGAGAAAAAAAAGTGGTCAATAGTTCCAGAATATGGTAAAATTTATCATGTTTCTGGCTCTATGGGAATAACAAAAAGGTCAGTATTTTTCACCGAAGCGCTTCGGTAATGATTTTGGTAAAATTAGCAATAAAGTATGGTTTTATAATAAGTAATAAAATTTGGTGAATGGGGTGAAATTTGGTAACTTTCTCATGATACCTTAGAGCATAGCATAAAAATAATTTATTCGGTTGAATTTACTTTTCATTTTTGTGTTTTTCATTGAATATGCAGGTAATTAGAACTATAATTTTAAAAAACAGAATTTCAATTAAGTCTTTAACATCTGAACAGAAAAATTACTAAATGAATGGATTTAACATCGTAAATTCTAGTTTTGTTAACCAGAATTATGTTGTTGTTGTTCTTTTTCTTTCGCCAGAAATGTCATTGCCATACAGTATGGCAATTTTACAGCATTATTTTTCTCCTTGCAGGATTATATATTTATTAAGGATGTGAACTCTTGTTGTTGTGGTATTAAGGTGACTCAGGGGATAAAGCGTTCGCCTTTCAATGAGGTGAACCGAGTTCGAATCCCAGCGATGGCTGATCGAAATGAATTCCGCATCCGGCTCGTACCGACCACAGTGTCAACGTAAAATATCCTCAGTGGTATACGGACCATGGGTTAGAGTCCTCTTGCCGTCAGGCTAACCATGGAAGGCCAAGAACATTAATTAATTTAGGAACATCAATTAAAATTATTCTTAATTCATAAAAAAAATGGTTTCTAATATTCAGATTTTTTAAAAGGAGTCTGAAAATAAATATTGAGAAAGAGATTTTAGTAAGCTTTGAGCAAATATTGAATATTGAATTTAATATTTAAAATACTTCAATTTAATGCAATTTCGCGTTATAAAAGGAAAGAAATTAAAAAGGAAGCACTTTATGTAGATGTGAGGTTGTGGTTAGCACTCACTACAACCTTTCTTAAAACATATGAAGTAGTTAATAAACAACTTCTATTATATATAAAATTAAACACCTTGGATATTCTATGTGGTGTTTAATTTTAAACTAGATAGAAGCTGTCAATTATCTACTTAAGGTGTTTGACAAGGTTGTTATAGGTGCACGCCATAACCTCTTTTTCTTCCTGGGGTGTTTTATTCATACACCTATCGGAAGTTGTTAATTATTAACATCAGGTATTTTATTTTATGAGTTAAGATATTTATTTACCAACCTAAGGTGTTTTATTTTATACTTCCCAGTGGTTGTGAATTATTAGACTAAAATGTTTGGCAAGGTTGTATAGGGTGCATGCCATAACTTCATTTCTACTTGAGGTGCTTTATTTTTAAACGTAACTGAAGTTGTGAATTATTTACCTTAGGTATTTATTTCACACCTTATGATATTATTCGCCTAACTAAAGTATTTTATTTTACACTTCATTGAGATTGTTAATAGTCTACTTAAAGTGTATGACAAAGTTGTAATGCGTGCATGCCATAATCTTAATTCTACCTGAGGTTGAGGTGTTACACTTATTATAAGCTATTATTTATCAACTTTAGGATGGGAAACAATTTCCTAAGGTGCTAAATTATTAACTTAAGGTAGTAAATTAGTATGAAAATAAAACACCTCAAGTAGATATGAGGTAAAATAACGTCAAATTGCAACCTCGGTAAATAAACCTCATTTTAACCTCAAAAACATCTAATTTTTTGCAAGGGTTTGATTTATAAGGTAAGACTCCAAAATTTCTTAATGTACATAAGAATTCTTAATTAAATAATTTGAGTAACACAATTATCGGCAATAAATAAATACAAAAGCAAAAAGTAACTAAGTAAATAAAATATAGCATTAATACAGCAGATGAGCATTTATAAGTACAGACGTATGAATAGCAATGAAAAAGATATTGGAAGCTGTCTTCTTGGTGTTAAGCTTAAGACATTTACCAGTTCCTTTTATCCTTTGGAGACTACTTAAGATGAGGATTGGCAGCATGCAAAAGAGAGATCCAATCCATACCACAGTAATCATTTTATAAGCATGGGAAAGAGTTTGCCACTTTCTAGATTTAAGAGGATGGCATATGGCGAAGTATCGCTCCACTGACATTGACACCAACGTCCAAGCACTCACACTTACGCTGACAGCTGTAAAAAAATGAAATAATAAAAGTTTATTATATCCATTATTATTTCGATAAAGATTATTATATCTGCAAAATGAAAGATTTTTGATAAAATATAGTAAAATTAAAAGAAAGGATGTAAGATTGTCAAAAAGGTAGCACTTTATTAAAAGAAGAGATTTTTGAAAAGATTGTTAAGTGAAAGGATAAAATATTATTGAAAAAATTTAAGATCATTAAATGAAAGGATAAAAAAATTTGGAAATGATTTAAGATTATTAAACATTGTATCAAAGAAAATGATGAAGATTTAACCTGATAAAAGCAGTTTTTAGGGAAATAAAATAGTTAAATATACAAGGTATCCAGCGAGTTAAAAAACCGAGTTCCAAATTAAAAAACTCAGAATCAAAGTATGATAGAAGAATAAAGCAAACGGTATTTAAAACGATATTTAAACGTTTTAAAATCATTATAACGACATGCTTATTATGATTTTAAAATTTGGTTTCAAAAGTTGCCTACCAGAGGCATTGTAAGCTGTAGCTCTTGAAACGATATTGTAGGACTATAATTTAATTGTGATATTCCAATACCTGAAACACATGTTGCTCAATTGAATACATTATTTAAATCTTAAAATCTGGTAATCTCCTTACATATTTCAATAACTCAATAACTGATCACTTTGATGAGCAATACTTGCGGTGCCATCTGTTGGTAAGTTTCGTAACTAAATTACAAAATTTCTGTATAAGCTCAGCTTTCAGCTGTTCAGCTTTAACAATAAGTACACAGTTTGTTTTATTCCTTTATCGTTATTCCTTTATTCCTTTATAATTTTAAAATCCATCAGTCTTCCACTGGACATCCTGTATCTCTTCTACAGTTCTTACTAAACCGCAATACGGATGTATTCCTTATATGTTCCCTATTTATTTACTTATTTTTTTTAATTTATTATTTACGAAATTTTTCCATAATTTTATAATTTCTATAGGAAAGAAGCGAAAAATGAAAATGAATAAAAAATAAATTTAAGAAAAAACTCATTCATTACGGTATTTACTGGTCAAATTGCTAGTCAAAAAGCCGTATTTGGTCCGTGCACGTGTGTTAGATTTATCCAGTTTTAGAAATTGCAAAAGCTATAAACAAGAAATCTGAACACTGGTATTGCATATAGTGAACCTTAATAATAATTAACATTCAACCGCGGTGGATGTTAATTATTATTAAGGTAGGTAGAGTGATCGCCTCTTAATGAGGTGGCTCTGATTCGAATCCCAGCTTTGGTTGTTACTAATTCTGCTCCTGGCTCAGAACGACTATAGTGCTCACGTAAAATATCCTCAGTGGTTGGTGGCTTATGGGACAGAATCCACTTGTAGTTGGACTATATATGGGAGGTTTCCGAGGTTTTACTCAACATGTAATGCAAGTGCTGGTTAATTCCATCAAAAAAACACCTCCACGAAGGCTAGTTTCTCCAAGTGCTTGATCCAGGAATTCTGTTGACTTCTGGGTTGGGTTCAAAATTACAAGGCTACGGAGTTGAACATTGATAGTTGTAAACTCAGAATTGGGTTGGTTGTTCAAAACCGGTTATGGAATAAAATATAAATAACATTATTAATACAGAGTATTCTTTATTAATCATAATACTTGGCCATGATAGCCTGGTTGGTTGGCGCTTGACTAACGATTGAATGGGAGTTCGAATCCAACGTGCCGAAGACTCCCCTTGTAGTAAATGGTGGCTGATACGCGTTAAATCCTTTGGGTCACAAGGTCCTCCATGTTCCCATAACAAATTATAACTCTGCGGGTACTGGATTAGAGATTGATCGTTCTATGATTTTGGTCAAAAGTGCGATCTGTGGATGAATGAATGGTTGTATAAATGGGTCCGCCTTATGTACGGGTGTGACGTATGGGTGTGACAGAAGTCGAATTCTTGGACATAGATAGCGCCACTGGGAAACAAGAACAATCGCACCCCCAGTGTCTTAATAGGGCGACGACAACAACATAATACTTCATTAACTCAGTTCAGTAAAAATCTAATTATCTTACAGATTTCAATGTAAACAGCTTGATATTTACCTTGGAAATAGGGTATCAGCTTGCAAAGAGCACTTCCAAATAAAAATTGTCTATATAAGACGCCAGTCAAAGTAAATGGCATGCAAAAAACTCCTAACAGAAAGTCGCTGATGGCCAAATTAAATAAGAATACATTCGTTACTGTTCTCATTCTCTTGTTAATTAAAAGTGTTACGATGACCAAAATATTGCCAGTTACGGCTAAAACAAAAATAATGCTGTAAGGGATAATAAGATGCCATGCACTGAAATCCTTAAAACTCAATGTTGAAACTGTAGAAGAATTTTTAAAGAATTCGTCTGTATCATTAAGATTCAGAGTAGAATTTTCAACATCGAGGCTTGTCACTGAATCCATCTTGCATTCGTGAAAAATCCTACTATCTGAAAAGAAAATATTTAAATGTTATTAAAATATTGATTTGAAAAGGTGCAAAAATTTACATTTTCTTATGCTTAAGTGGACGTGGACAAATATTTAATGTTGACATTTCAAATTTGAAAAAAAAAGTACTGTGTCAAAAAAAAATTTTTTTTTTAATTACTCTAAATAGAGAAAAAATGTGTCGAAGTAGCTCCGAAACAAATATAGCCGAATTCGAAAATACCATGTATCATAAATTGAAACGGCATATTGTCAGAGCAAAATGCATAGTTTCAAAAGTGATTTTCCTCTCTCATGGTTTTCCTCTCCATGTAACGCAAATTCGGGTTAATTCCATCAAAAAGTCCTCCACGATGGCAAACTTCTCCCAATACTTTATCCAGTAGTTCCCCAGTCATTTGGATTGGGTTCAGAACTGCAAGGTTTACCTTATATTTTGGTTCTAATTACCAGAATTATAGTCTTTTTTACCAGAAATGTCATTGTAATACACTATGGTAATTTTACCGGAATTGCTTTCGCCTTGTGTCGTTTTTAAATGATCTAGTATCTTAATTTAATAAACTGAATTCCGAAACAAGCATAATTGAACAGTGTTTTTTATGAAATTTTTATTGTCAAAAGAGAAATTTAGCGCTGATGTACGTTATTGATTAATATATTTGCCATAACCACTTAATTAAATTTATATTCGTATAACTATGTAATTTAGATAAGAATTTAAGAAAAAGTTTAAACTCCTTTGCAAGCAACTTTTCATTTATAAACATTTAAAACAATTAAAAAACCTAGTAGCTGTAACTTTAAATCTAATTATTACTTTTATGTAATATTTGGTATAATGTAATCCAATATTCTGCTTAAATTTCGAAATGATTAAACTAAAATTACTCTCATTTTATTTTATACGTTCATTCTCCCCTTAAGAAATTAAATTATTTTTCTTGTAAAGATTTCAACTTTAAGAAGTTTGGAATGAAAAAATTTAGTTATAGGTCATTTAAAATAAACACATAATAAATTATGGGCTGTAATTGTGAAGAGCTGGGGTTCGGTCCCCAGTGGTGGCTTGAAGCACAACCAGCATCAGATCGATGGGGTCCAGCTTGTCTGGTAAGTAAAGACGGGCAGCGACTACATTGCCACAATCATGCCATTGGTCACGAAATTGTGTAGTCTTCTCCTCCATGATCACCTGGCCCACTACGGGCTGTTGCTGCAATGCTTCACTTTTAATTAATAAATTAATCATCTACTAAGAACTTTTCATGTATTAACCATCCCTTTTTTTCATATTTAAACGCTTATTTAGCTGATAAACGCAAGATTGCAACCTCCAATGTCTTCAAGCATAATTCCGTGTTGTTTTTGTCTATCAGCCATATTCAAGTGAAATCAAAAAGATAGCACTAGTTATATAAGTTTCACATAGAAAAGTTCCTTTGTTGCTAGTTCTTTCATGGGCCTTTGTCATATATATAAATATATATATATATATATATATATGTTCAAAATGAAGAATAAAACAAAGAAAAATAATAGACATATGAAAAGAAGGGGGAATAATAAGTAAAAAAATAAAAAACAACAGTT